AATAGAAGGGGTAGAAATGGAAGCAGTAACAGACTTCATTTATTTGCGCTCCAAGATCACCACAGACAGAGACTGCAGCCATGAAATTAAAGACACTTGCTCCTTGGGAGGAAAGCTATGGCAAACCTAGACTGCACATTAAAAAGCAGAGACATCACCTTGCCAACAAAAATCCACATAATCAAAGCTATGGTTTTTCCAGTAGCAATATATGGCTATGAGAGCTGAACCTTAAGGAAGGCTGAGCATCGAAGAATTGATGCCTTTGAACTGTGGTGCTAGAGAAGACGCTTAGGAGTCCCTTGGACTGCTAGAAGGTCAAACCAGTCAATCCTAAAGGAAATCAACCCTGACTGCTCATTGGAAGGATCGATAATGAAGCTCAAACTCAGATACTTTGGTCTCCTAATGCGAAGAGAGGACTCTTTGGCAAAGACCCAGATGCCAGGAAAGATGGTAGGCAAAAGGAGAAGGGGATGGCAGAGGATGAGATGGTTAGATAGCATCACCGAAGCAATGAACGTGAAATTGAGCAAATTCTGGGAGGCAGTGAAGGACAGGAAGGCCTGGCAGGATGTGGTTTGGGGGGTCACGAAGAGTCGGACACGACTTAACGACTGAACAACAACAACATCTTCCATTTAACCTTTGTTTCTCATTCGTGTTATCTCTGGCATCACTGACATGGTACATATTTATGCTGCTTACTAGCAGCCACAAAAAGTATCAGCAGGCAGCTGCAATGCCCTTTCAGTTCTACTGAAAATTTAGCCCGCCTTTCTTTCTTTTCTTTCTTTCTTTCTTTCTTTCTTTCTTTCTTTCTTTCTTTCTTTCTTTCTTTCTTAAGCAAAAAAAAACAACTTTTGGAAATTTGTTTTTAAAAATCCACTGTATAATACAAGATGAAGAGATGAGATGGGGCGGTCTCTAGGGGAACAGAGTCAAAGAAAAGGTTCTTCTGTATAGAATACTAATAGAAGATCTATGGATCATAAGAGCGAGAACTTCCATCAAGCATCCCTGAAAATGGTATCTGAATCTAAACTGTTTGGAATAATTGAAAAGAAAGAGGAATTGAAAGAGAGGCCAAACTATTTTATTTAGACATGTGAATTTCCTGTGAAATATTCAGCATGTCATTTCTGTAAATCCTCATTCAGATGATCCAGTGATGGGAATTTCAGAGAAAGTAAAAACAACATGACGAAAATTTGTCTGCCAACCTGACTATGAAAGCATCGCACATTTCTCATTAGTAACACCAGTCTGCCTAACTTCATACACTTGTCAAAGGCGGTCCCTAGAAAGTCCTGCATTACAATGAGTCAAAGTGTTTTTTTAAATCAATGACACATTCATAATGCAATAACAGTATCAGTTCCAGTTCCCAATTCATCAAGGCATTTAAATGGGTGCTGCATTTTTAATATGCAAGTGCTCTCATTAGGATTAATGAAACTCAATGTGTGCTTAAAGTCAAGCAGCGTATGAAAGCACTTTTCTGGATCAAAGCCTTCTTCCCACCCAGAGTTCCATACGGGCAGCTGCTTGATCATTCTCGGTCAGAAATAAACTCCCCAAACTGATGCCGATGCTGCTTGGCCATCTGCACATATGCCCATCTGTTCTGATGGCATGTGCTCTCTTACAAGCTGCTTGGACTCTTCCCTGAGAGGACCAGTGCCAAGCAATGGTGATTTAATCAGCAGCTTGAATACAGCATCTTGTTTGGAGTAAAACTGCTCCACGTGAACCAAACCGAAGCAGCACTGTATTTGCTGCCCTTCATCAGTTGTGGTTATGCTTGCCAAAGCAAGCAAATGCCAGAGTAGAAGAAAGGTTATGACCATTGCATACAGGCATTTATGGATGGCGGGATCAGCAGCAATGGTAACAGCTGCTGTGGAAACCTATTTTTACCCATGTGGACTTTTTTTATAGACTTCAGAGAGAGAGAAAACAGAATCAGACCAACTGCCATGGCGGTTGATCACTTCCTTGATTAATAGAGCTCCTAGATCTAGTCACATGTTCGAGTGGAAGCGTGGGGACTTAAAGTGACAAAAGGATAGTGGAGCAAATGGAAGTCACATTCACAAGAGATAGGTCCACTTTGTGACCTTCCCACATCCTGTGTTTAGAAGCATCCCATGACCTTTTAAGACAGTGCTGAAATAAGGTTAAGACGAGGGGTGCTAATATCTCACCAAAATCCCATCCTGAAAGCGTTTAGCTCTTCAGATCAAAGTATACACAAGCCTCTTTATACTTGACAGGACTTTTTGGTGTGGTGTCCTGAAAAATATAATATAGTTGTATATAATAATATGGATGTGTATAGTTGGCAACTAAAGAAGGGGGGAGGGAAGAGCTCTGTCTCGAGCAGCAGTTTAATTCCCAAACAGCAGATGAAGACAAAAGAGCACATTTCAAAGATGATTTTCCAGTTTCATTTATTAAAATATCCCTATCTAAAATTATAGAAGTGGTAGCAACCTACATACAGAACCCCCTGATTTGTGATTCCGACCTGTCATGGAATCTCCACGATAGGTTTAGGCATCAGAGGTGATAAGACAGCCGTTTCTTCTTCATGTATTTCTCTGTTGCATTATCCACCGTTTTGATCTACTGCAGTGTTATTCTCTGCCACTTTTTCAAAGGGTAGGCGAAAGGGTTTTGTTATCCTTTTAAGCTCAAGTGAAACCCTTCTGCAGCAATGAACAGCATTGCTTTTCCATAAAAGTAAATGAGCTAGCAAGATGCTGCGCAGCCTTTCTGCTGGGCTAGAGTCAGCCTGCCTGTAGCACAGCTTCCATTCTAGTGGATTCACACCCCACTTTTGTTTTTAAAAGTTAAATCTCTCAGTATGGGGCAAGGGTGGATGTTGTGACTTTAGCAATGCCCCATTTGGTGCACAGCCTGCTACTTGACACACTGCCACTGGCGAGGCTCATGTTGAACTGCATTGTGATAATGTTTTATAGGACAATTTGTGAGCTAACTCAGATTGTGGCTCATTTGAATATCTCTGGCCCAAATGCTAGCACATCTTCCTTTGTCTTCTCTCTCCCTCCCTGCATCCCCACCCCTACCACCACCCTCGGCAACCTCTGTTGTTTGTTTAGATAATAACTATTACCGAGTGGGAGGTACCACAGCCATCCTTTAAGGAGTAGAAGCAGGTTGGTTGAAAAGTCCAGCATCCTAATTTAAAACAGTCTTGAGTTCCTTTGCTTTGAAAGAAAGGTTCATAGTCAGTTTGCTAAGGCATTTGCTTCAGAAGACAACATAGGGCTCTCCACTATGGAATTAAAAACAGCATATGAAGAGGATTCTTTGACATATTTAGCATGAGACTAAGATTGTTTCAGGAATGGTACCATTCTGTATTCCTAAGGCCATTTTCCACCTGACTGTGTTCAAAAGGCTATTTTTAATGAGTTGATAAGGAAGCTTTCCTGAGTTCATATGGCTGTATCATTCAAATAATACCACCTGAAAAAATGTGTTTTACATATCTTTCATAAAGCCAGTAAAAAGGAAAATTTCTTTCAGTGAGCCATTAAGTATTCTTAAAGTTAACAGTGCAAAGCTCCTGCACTTTGAGATTTCCTCCATTATACAAAATTCTTATCAAGGCATACTTGGAAATTCTTAAAGGAAGGAAGAACATGCCCCACTGCATTCAGTATGTTGATGTATTTTAATGTTTCACTGATATAGCAATTATTACCCAGCTAATGTTACTATAAAATGGTATATCTATGCCTAGAGAAGATATGCACAGGACACATGATAGTCCTCCTGAAATGCAGGGAGAGTTTTCAGATACTGAAATAAAGAAGGGGGGAGGTATTTGCTGCTGTTTAATGAGTTTGTTTAATAAAACAACAGAATGGGATTGAACTTTAGCAGGTTATTTGAAAAAACAAAGCAGTCAGACAATAGAGGGCCAACTGTATGGAATGATCTAACACTGGATTTCCTACACAGACCAGGGAATTGCACTTAATAATCCACAAGATCCCCTCCAACTTTATGGATTCTATTCAACACACTGGCTTAAACTGGAAAATAAGTTTCTTAAGTTCACAAGTTTACAAACAGAAAGCTTTGCCTTCCCTCCTCCCATCACCTTCTATCTTTCCTCCTACACCAGGAGGGGACTCCAAGTCTCTAGTGTGGCTTTTGGAGATCTGTAGAAGGGGAAATATCAGAATTTTTCTTTCACTTAACTTCCTTTGAATTTATCTTAGGATCCAAAACCCTGGTAATTTGATATGATAAAAGTAAGAGCAGCCACCACAGTACATCAGCAACATTAATTGTCAGTAACAAGTTCCATGTTGTTCTAGCACAAAGTGAGTAATGTTATTATTACTACAGCACTAATATTACTTATTTATATGTAAGTGTATAAAAATGTTAGCAAGAAAGTATCTTAAGTAGCATTGAATAATTGCACGGAGACAGGATACTTTCTGATAATCTTGTTAAATCATGTTTACTTTGATGTGGTTGGGTGTGGATGTACACACACACATACACACGTGGACGCGGGCACACACACACACACACACACACACACAGAGGAATGACAAATAAATGTGATTTAACCAAGGTAAGCAGGAAAGCATTTTCCCAATGCTTCCTACATTTAGTACTTGCTAGTATTCTCATTCAGGGTTCTCTAACAATGAAATTCCTTCACCTGAAAAAAAGGGTTGGTCAGAAAAAAGAGAGTCAGACCTTTGACATGAAGCATATTAAGAATGCTTGTGTTAGTATCCAATAGTAAAATATGTCCTCTTTCTACTGTGACATTATCGCCATCTTGTGGTGGGTGTCCATTAAGCCAGGTCATGTTCTTTGACCATCGTCCACAAAATTGAATCTGGAAGGTGTTCTAAAAAATGAAACAAAAATCAAATCCATTAGCAACACACATTTTGTGGTGAAGAAAATAACACAGTCGGATAGATCATACAATCCTTATTTTACATGTCTATTTGGACTTGAGTACCTCATTTTATTTTATGTTTTTCTAATTTGTGAGTCATCCTGTGGCAAAAGCTGACATTATATAAATCAAATTCAGTAACCTCCAGTTAAATAAAGAAATCAGGGGCAACTTCAAAGACAATTTATAGGAATGAAGTCTAAAATACAAACAAGGAGTTAAAGGACTAAAGCATCCATGGAGATGAAACTATTCCCAACAAACAATTTTAAAATGCTACTGGACAACAACGTGTGCAATAATTTACAGGGCATGAGAAAAAATTTTTTTTAAAAAAATCTTTGCCTGATGTTACAAAATCAACCAGTTAGGAAGTAGGAAGACTTCTCTGAGGAAGGCATTCCAGAGTTACATAACTACTTCTAAAAGAAACTGCTATCAAATAGCCACCCATTCAGTCATGGCACTTGGAACAGAGTCTTGGATGAAGATCTCCAAGCACAGCAGAAATTATGAGGAGAGGCAATCTTTCATATTTGGCCATCATTTCCACTATGGATTTAGTATCTGCAGATTTCCATTATATGTATTGCCCTTCTTAACATCATGCAGTTTAAAATCCTACATAAAATAGGAAAAGCCAGAAAAGTGAACACACTACTGCAGAAAAATCAAGCTTCACACAAGTGACATCACAAATGCCAACACAATTTTATTTGGCAGGGAAGATATTAAATGAAAATAAAACTAAGTAGAGGAAACAAAGAAGCACATGTGCATATAGCAGGCTTGCAGAATACAGTGGATAAACAAGGAAGATATCTAAAACTTGATCCATCTATTATATATTCCATACATAGTCATAGAGAAACTGTGCAATGCTTTAGATTCAAGGCCACACAATCCCACGGAAAGATGTGGTTGCTTGGAACTGCAGACAAGTGCTGGGTTTGTGCCTCCACGTACTCTGAAGCATCTTTTAGGATGCAGCCCAAAAAACATTACTACCTTTAGTGCTAATGCAGAGAAAAAGAAGAGAATCCTGGCCATGGCTGATATGATGGAATGCCTAACAGACTTTGGAACCCAAAAGGGCAGCAAGATATTAAGAGGGGAAACAAACCATTACAAAAGATTTGGTAGGAGGGGGAGACCGTGAGACAGAGACTCACAGTAACTCTGCCTTAATTACACCAGGTACAAGCTGTGTGGGAGAATTACTTTGCTAGGCTTTCAGGATTCTGTTATATTACCCCACCAGCAGTACAGCTTTTTCCAGAAATCCAGCTGGTTCTTGCTTCCTGAGCTTGCCAGTCTGGCAGAGTTTGACCACTGACTTGCACTGAAGAGAAGGACATGGTTCCATCCCTCTTAAGCACCAAGGGATCTTGGGAGACTCCCAAATATCTCTTTGTTGCTGACTCATATGTTCAGTTAGATGGATTATCCCTTCTCAAACCTTGCCCCAGATGTGATTTCATGAAATTAAAAAAAAAACTTCAAGAAGACTTTTTCACTGAAACAAAGTGACTGCTGTACAATGGACACAAACATTATATAATGTTTACACGATAAGCATTCTTTACAAAGTTATATGGCATTATCGCAAGAATGTTACATTGGATGTTACTTTGAGTAGGACTATATTACTGAGCAAGTTAAAAGGACACAGTTTAACACCTGTGAATTTCATTTTACAGTGTTGATCTAAGTCTATTATTTTTTCCTGAAAATTTTTATAACTACATTTTTCAGCAATTTGCTTATGTCCTATAATTGATATATTATGATAATGGTTTTGACAATGATGCCAGTATTTTTTAAAAAGTTTTAAATAATAGTTATATTGCATTACAAGATGTGTGACATTCTTTTATAAGCCACAAGAAATACATTGCTGAGTTAACCAAAATCTCAGCAGTTTTTAACTCTATTTCCTTCTAATAATGAATCATTTTTTGTTCTCATACAAGCTGGTTTCACAATCACTCAAGTTCTCTCCTAGAATTCAGCAACCACTTGTCTACTGCTTTAATCCACCTAGCAATGTTCAGGCTTTTTGCAGGCTCTGTGTATGGGTGTTGGACTCTTCTTGACATGTGTTCAGAAATAACCTGAGCCACAGATTCAAGTGCAGAGTGAGTTGAAAGCTAGCTAACCCCTTTGCCCAGTCACCTGCCCAGACTCCCTTAACCTCACACCACCACACGCTGAGAAGAGCAAGATGTTTTCCCATTGGCTTGTGCACTGATCCACAAATCCATAATTTCTTGAAGGGTTCTGTGCCATTAGTAAATGCACCTGCCAGAACTCTTCTGATGGGCAGTATAGTATTTCAGTTCATTAAATCCCTCTTCTTGAACATCTTACTCATTGTAGTCCTTGGTGTCTATGTGCTTTAATATAGAAAGTAAAGAGGATAACCTTAACAGAGAAAGGGGAGATCTGTTACATCAAGGAAGGAAACTTTGAAACAAGCAATGAAAATGTTTCAGACACCTCCCTAATTCACATTAGTATAAAAGGGGGAGAAGGTAAACTATAATCAGATTTGCAAGAATCTGTTAGTACAGCCAATCTTAATAAAGGTAGTTTTAGCCTTGATATGGAATTGATTTATTGGACTGATCATTTGTTCTGGAGTGTAGTTTTCTCATTTGGGTTAAATGAACCTTTGTCCTCAAATAGGACAATCCCAAAGTCCCTCACAAGTTGTCATGCATGTGCTGCAGATAAATACTCTGTTTTGGTGGGTGATAGGGAAACAGCTGATTGTTTCTAGCTTGCCCAAACTGATCACTCCACCTCTGTACAGGAATAGTTGTCCACTTGTATATTTATAATCTGTTCTGACTTTTGCCCAGACTGCATCCATATAGCCTACCAGTTGATGGTTGCTGCTGGCTGGCAGTCTGAGATCTACAGTATGTGTTCAGTTTCCTTTAGGTATCTGCCATCCTTTTGACTCCAATACAGTCCCTTTTGGGTGGTGCACTCACTTTTCTACACAGGATTCTGACTCTTGCAGCAATGTCTGACTTTGGCTAAGTATCAGAAGTTTCTAAATGCAGTCTTATATTTGTTAGTTTCAGGCAGGGACTCATTGTGTGCAGTTTGTTTTTAGGAAGTCCATTTCCATGGCTTTATCTGCTTCAATTAGTCCTAGAAATTCAAGAAGATCTTTTATCTTCTGTCTTTGAGGAGGTACATTTCGTGGAGTCCTTGGGGTTCTCTGAGCTTGGTTG